GCGGGGGGCGCGGGGCAGGGAGCCCCCACAGCCAAGCTCTCGGCCACCGTGACACAACACAGAGGGTGGCGTCTCACAGACACACGGTCACAGAAAGACCATGTGGGGAGGACCCGTCAGCAAATGATTTTAAAGAAACTGAGGAAATGGGGGCAGTGGGCAGCCCTCTGGAACCCCCGCACTACATTTTCTTCCCACCAGCTCTGACGGGTACTGAGCGGAGCCCCAGCACGGCGTTGGCGGCCAGCATCCCTTGGCGGCTACACGCTGGGAAAGGCCCGGGGCGCCTGCGCTCACCCGCTGGCCCAGGCTGAAGGCCCAGGACGGCCGCTCGGGAAGGCGGAGGGCGCGGCTCACCTGGCCCGCGTACAGCCCACTCGTCCCTGCCGTCGGAAAGAGAAACATGTTGATGAACTCGATCAGGATGCTGGGGGCCGCTCTGGAGGTCTCCGCGGAGTAGACCAGCCACTTGTAGATGATCATGAATATGAGGTACCCGAACATGCAGAGCAGGAACAGGAGCTCTGGGATGGACACCAGGTAAATATTGAATTTCTTCCTGAAATGCCTGGGGGGAAAGTGATCCATCAGCCCACGCACAAGGCTGGGCTGAGATGAAAGCGAATTCTCTCTGACGAAGCCTCACTCAGCGAGTCATTCGCCTCTCGGTTCATACCAGTGACTCGGGGGCATCCAGTAAGAGAGATGTGGGGCACTAGAAAGGACCAGTGTTTCACCTCCAGATACAGAGAGAGAAAAAAGATATAACCTCTTACGACAGGAGCTCTCAGAAACAAGCAAAAGGTTTTCCAGCCCCAGCTGGGCGGCTCAGTTGATGGGACCATCGTTTGTGCACCAGAAAGGGTGCGGGTTTGATTCCCGGCCGGCGCACACACCGAGGTCGCAGGCTCGATGCCCGGCTGGAGCAGGTATGGGAAGCAACCGATCGACGTTGCTCTTACATCAATGCCGCTCTCCCCCTCCCCCTCCCCTTCTAAAATCAACAAACGATATATTCTAGAATGATTAAAAACCTAATTTTAAAAAGTTTTCTAATTTATTAAAAAAAAAAAAAAAAAAAAAAAATCCAATCCT